GAACGTGTCCAAATGTTCGGTTATTTCATTTGGCCGCAAGCAATCACTCTTCCATTTAAGCTATGCTTTGGGAGGCATGAATCTACAACGTGATTCGACACTCAAGGACATGGGGATTCTGGTTGATACAAAATTAACCTTCAAGGATCACGTCGTGTACGTTGTGTCTAAAGCCTCATCGCAACTAGGATTTTTATTTCGCTTTGCAAAAAAGTTCAAGGATGTTTACTGCCTAAAAGCTTTATACTGCTCAGTTGTGAGCCCTATCTTGGAGTATTCGTCTATCGTCTGGTCTCCTTATTACCAGAATGAAATTCAACGCATCGAAGCTGTTCAGCGAAAATTCATCCGGTTCGCTCTACGTCATCTTAGGTGGAGAGATCCATTCAACCTGCCCAGTTATGAAAGCCGTTGTCTACTTATAAATCTGGAATTACTAGAAGCAAGACGCAACGTGGCAAAATCATGCTTTGTTGGGGATCTTCTGGAAGGCAACATTGACAGTCCTACGCTTCTTAGTCTCTTGGACATCAACACACGTCGTCGCAATCTTCGGTCGCACTCATTTATTACCATCCCTCCGGCAAGAACTAATTATGGCTTACACGAACCTTTGCGAAGCATGTCCCGTGTATTCAACTGGTGTTATTATGTGTACGATTTCAACGTGTCACGAGAAACAAATAAGCGTAGCTTTACACGAATTTTATGTTAATTTTTTTTTTTTTTTTTAATAATTCGTTTATTTTTCCAGGCTCATTTGCTGTAGCTTTGCGGAGCCGATATTCATTGTTTAGATAACAAAATTACTTAAAACTAACGTTAGTAAAGCGGGGCCGATTACTCGCGGCTATCTCGAGGTTAGGGGTAGCAAATTGTAACAAATGGATGGCAGGGTAGGGATTGTGAACACAAGGTTTGGAGAGCAATGTGCTCTTGATCTCGAACTAGGCGACACTCTGATGAAAAAGACAAACATGGGGGTACACCGATGGGTAGCTAACAACTTGGGAGAACACAAGATGACACTAACTTCTAAATCCTCAAATCTATCCGTTTTAAAAACACATAAATTAAATTCAAATAGTCAAGGTCTCGGCTCGCCAAGACATCTCTAACGGGTATCGCGGGTTGTTTTCCTCGGGCCCTGAGGGATGTGGATAACTCAGATCTGGCAACACGGTGTAAGGTACACGACCAAACAACATGCTCGATATCGTGATAACCACTGCCACACGCACATAAATTGCTGCCTGAGAGCCCAATTCGATAGAAGTGCGAGTCTAACGAGCAGTGATTGGACATAAGCCTTGATATAACGCGTATAAAGTCGCGGCTCATGTCCAACCCTTTGAACCATGGTTTGTTCGACACCTGTGGGAGAATAGAATGTAACCATCTTCCCAATTCACCATCATTCCATTTTTGTTGCCAACTGATGAGGACTTGCTGGCGAGCAATGGAGAAAAATTCGTTGAAGGCGATTTGTCGCTCAAAAATATCGCCTTCCATAGCGCCCACCTTAGCCAATGAGTCCGCTTTCTCATTACCCGGAATTGAGCAATGAGATGGGACCCAAGCTAAGGTGATAGTATAGGAGCAGTTAGATAAAGCACTCAGTTTAGATCGTATTTCAGGCAGGAAATACGAGGAGTGCTTCATCGGCCTCATTGAACGAATAGCCTCCAATGAGCTAAGACTATCCGTAAAAATAAAATAATGGTCAGACGGTAGTGAGGCAATTCGCTCTACTGCGTAAAATATAGCTGCGAGTTCCGCAACGTATACTGAGCATGGTTTCTGCAGTTTATAAGAGGCGCTATGAAATTGATTAAATACACCAAATCCAGTGGAAGCATTTATGGTTGACCCATCTGTGAAAAATCTTTTATCGTTACTTATATGGTGGTACTTGATTGCAAAAATTGAGGGAACAACCATCGACCGATGGTGATCTGGTATTCCATGGATTTCTTGCATCATGGTCAGATCAAAATTTACAGAGGAACTATAGAAGGCTTGGAAGCAATCACGATTGGAGATTAATGAAGAAGGACCAACCTCCAGCGTCATGTACTCATAGTACAAACTCATGAATCTTGTTTGAGGATTTTGGTCGAGCAGCTTCTCAAAGTGTTCTATTACCAAAGGATTCAATACTTCACAACGGATGAGGAACCGGAAAGACAGCTCAGCGAAACGATCTGTCAGTGGGAGAACACCCGCGAGTACTTCGAGGCTCATCGTATGCGTCGAGTGCATACAGCCAAGCGCGATTCGGAGGCAACGGTATTGAACTCGTTGCAGCTTCAAGATATGTGTTTTCGCCGCGGATTGAAAGCAGAAGCTACCGTACTCTAGAACCGACAAGATGGTTGTTCAATACAACCTGATAAGATCTTCCGAGTGTGCTCCCCACCAAGTTCCGGTAATTGTACGAAGAAAATTGATTCTTTGTTGGCATTTTTGTTTTAGATACGCAATATGTTTTCCCCATGTGCATTTGGAATCGAACCAGACACCTAAATACTTGAAAGATATACTTTGAGTGATTGTTCTACCCTTTAGTTGAAGCTGTAACTGTGCAGGATGATGCTTCCTAGAAAAAACAACCAACTCAGTTTTCTCCGGAGAGAATTCGATACCCAGCTTCATAGCCCAAGTAGACAAATTGTCTAAGGTATCTTGCAATGGTCCTTGCAGGTCCGGTGCACACAAGTTGCTCAAATAGTTGTTCATAATTGGTGAAAGCCCACTATCGTGGAGTTTATGTTAATTTATGTTATTCGTTAGTTTTGTATTTAGTTGTAGAACAAGTGTCATTGGGGTAAACATTTTACCTGTTGACTGATAAACAATAAAGATAAAGATGAAGATAAATATGGGTATCTACTGAATAGGCTCGACGAGTGGAAGTGGAAAATTGACATCCGCCGCCATTTTTTAATCCAAAATGGCGGACCAAAATCCAATATGGCGGCCCCGGACAGGGAATATGCATCTTACCCCCCCCCCCCCCCCTCCTCAACAAGCCCATTCCATCGATACCCATATTGCATGGGTTAATATGAATATTCCCTGTCCGGGGGCCGCCATATTGGATTTTGGTCCGCCATCTTGGATTCCAAAATAGCGGTGGATGTCGGTTTTTTACTTTGACTGTAATACCAAGCTATTGCTATAAGCTATTGATTTTCCGTTTGGTTTGTTGTTACCTCAAAATCAGCTAAGGTTAAAATCAGCCTTGATTTTCTGCTTTGTGATTTTTCTGATTTCAAGATCAGCAGTGATTTTCGGCCGTTCCTGCTTTTGGATTTATTTTTTTATTTTTTCCATCACTGGCCACCAGACAGAAAATCGTCTTCGTAGAAATCGTGGATGACCGCTTATACAGCAGCTCAAAATTGGTCTCCATTATTCAGAGTCGTTATGACCAATAACGGGGCAGACGCAGTACCGTAGGTGACTGTCTGCAGGTCATAGGTGCAAATCAGATTGGTGGGGCTCTTCCTGAAGTGGATTCGTAGGAATCTTCGGCCGCTGGCGAAATGAAGCATTTGGCGATACATTTTCTCCCCGTCGGCAGTCATAGCAACGAAGCGAATGTGAAACCTTAGTACTAGTGTTTGAAGATCTTCCTGAACGACTGAACCAACGTGTCGTTTAGTGAATATCCCGACGACGTCTTGCACGACGCGTCAAATACGACCCTGACCTTCGTTGTTGTTCTCGACTCCTTCAAGACAGAAGCGTGGTGCGGGATGTAGCAATGAGGAATGTCATCGTGTACCGGTTCGTCAAGCTGTTTCATTTGTCTTAGTTCGAGGTACTCGTCCATTAAGAGGTGGTATGCATCCTTGGAAGGATGAACACGTTCGAGCCACCTCTCGATGCTTCGAAGACGACGATCTGCGATTTCTCGGGAGCTTCCTAGGACAACTACGGAATTGTTGGTTCGAGGAAGACTGACGATGTACCTCCCAGATTGATAACGAGTAGTGGTCGATGTGTAGTGCTGCTGGAGATGGTTTCGATTTCCCAGAACTTCAGGAGTTCTGTTTCTAGAGGAACATCCTTCGTCGAAATATTGCATCCTACTCCTTGGATGCAGTCCCAGCGACCCATCTGTCGTAAACGTATCGCAACATGACCTTACTCTCCAAATTTATTTCACTGAATGACGCATTCCAAACCCCCGGGTGGGCTGATTGTCTTCCGGTGCTGACTTTGCGTTTAGTGAGTGCGTTGACAATATTGCGATCTAATACTTTGCGTTTAAAGTGGAACCTTATAATGGTAGATCTGTGTATTGACACAGACTTACATATATATATATTTATTTATTTTTTAAGTTTAAATAATTTAAACTTATTTCTTATTAATTAAATTTAATACCCGACCAGATACTACTATCAAAGTTATTACTGTCAACCAACTGATCATTGATGACTGATATTGACATTGATAATCAATTTTTAATTTAATTCCGTTTAAACAACTGAACTTTGGGTGTTTCGTGTGACCGTGTATTTTTACTGGCAACTCTGAATGGGTACGTTGTAAGGTTCCTTCTGAATTATTTCACCATGCTTAAATCTGTCAAATTTAATGTCAACCAATCTATCTTCTTATTCTCCTTTGTTTATATTCATAATTTTATTTACTATTTGCTTGCCCTATTTACTACATCTCCCTCCTTCTCCACTCTGAATTTCGAATCAGTAAAAAATGCTTAAAAGTTTGAGCAGTAAGACTTTCTGGATTAGAATTAAAAAGTACACTAACAGAAAACGAAAACTTGCGAATCCAAACAAGGAATTTTATATCGACTGGTTCTCTAGGTTTTGATTTATTGAAAATTAAAATCAGCGGTGATCTTAGTAGACATGTTTTTCTGCGTGCTGAACGTTTTTCATCAAAAGTTTCAAGATGTCAACCTGTCTACAACTATATATTTTTTTGTCACTGTATTAACCTTTTTTTCTCTTTTAGTCATCAAGTTAGAAGAATACGCGATACACAAATTGATCATCAAACCGTTTTGGTCGCTTGATCACCTCTCGCTTTCGAAGATCCCTGGACGTCTTAGCCGAACCTGATGCTTGAATCTCGGAATCTGGCGTGGAAACCATTTCCTCCTCCGGAAGAGTTATTTGCCCACCGTTATCACCTTGAAATACTTCGACGAATTTTTCCTGCTCAGGATGATTGTCAGATGTGATGGATTCAGGCGCTCTTTTAACTTCTCTGATGTTGCGAGCATACTGTATTCCTGTTTTGCTCATGATTACGATTTTGGCTCCTTCCCTGGCTATTACTGTGAATCTTTCTGATGAAAAGGTAGGATCAGTCTTGCTTCTTTTGTTTTGCGCAAGCAACACCGTGTCACCAATTTCAATATTTGATTCCTTGGCTCCTCGAGAAGAATCTGCATAATTCTTACTGATTTGTTTTGTATCTGCATCTTTTTCCCTCAGTTCTGAACGATCGAGCTCACTGCCGCACGGGTCTGACCACATACTGGGGAAGGTACCTCGGTACTTCCAGCCAACCATCAACTCAAATGGAGTTACTCCTAGGCGTGAATGAGGGACCAGCGTATTGTGTCGGTGTACATAGTCTTGCAGTGCAGAACGCCAGTTTTTGCCGTCAAGCTTCGATGCAGCCAACGCTTTAATAATCCCTTGGTTCTGCCTTTCAACTGCCCCGTTGGATTGTGGGCTGAGTGGTATAGATTTGCGAATTTCAACTCCCTTATCTTGCCAAAAGTTAACGAACGATGCACTTTGAAAAGGAGGCCCATTGTCGCTTTGAACGATGATTGGGCACCCCCACATTTGGAAGACTTTACATAGCGCTTGATTTGTACTGATTGCATCTAAACCTTTCATCTCTGTCACGCACAGATATCGAGAATACGTATCGATGACCACCAGGAGCTCGCCAGAACCATAATTAGGAATCGATAGAAAATCTATCTGTAAGATCTCCCATGGACCCTCGGGTAGATCCCTGCTTGTTAACGGCAACGGAGGATTCCTTTTCGATAATAGCACACATGTTTCACACTCCTTAACAAAACGAGAAACTTCCTTGGACATGCGAGGCCACCAGAAAAATTGACGCATGATACGCTTTGTGGCCACTTCTCCAACGTGACCTCCGTGAGCCAAACTAAGAGCCTTTTTACGAAGAGAAGCTGGCAAGACCGTTCTATTGTCTTTAACCACAAGCGAACCTAGAACATACAGAGTTTTCTTCTGTGCTTCAAATCCACTAAGTTCTGCTGGCCATTTCTTCGATTCCACTGCTATTCGAACTAGTTTAAGCTCATAGTCGCTTTCCGATTCATTTTCGATTTCACTCCATGTCATCTGCATGCAACCGGGATCTAGGGCATAAAGGTAATGGTTATCTTCTTCCTGATCAAACGGTAGATCTTGCTGTGTCGCTGGAATCAAACGAGACAGGGCGTCTGCCACGTTATGGCAACCTGGTACTCGTTGAATCGAAAAGTCATAAGGCTGCAATCTGAGCGCCCAACTCTCTGCTCTTGAAACAGCCCTTTTTCCCAATCTGTGGCTAGTATTGAAAATGTACTGATTTGCTTCCGCATCAGTGCGAATTGTGAAGGTTCTGAACAGCAGATAGAATGAGAATCTCTCAACTGCCCATACCACAGCTAGGGCTTCCCTTTGCGTCTGTGGGTATCTTTGTTCGGCGGAGCTGAGAACCTTTGAAGAACACGCAATTATCCTAGGCATGCCCTCAGCATTAAATTGAGCTAGAACCGCTCCAAGACCTATCGGAGATGCGTCTACGAATAATTCAATTCGATCATTTGGACTATAGTATCCCAATCGTTTAATGGAACTGAGAGCTTCGTCCTTGAAGAAGTTGAATTCATTTTCCTCGTCGGCTGTCCAATAGAACTTATCAGAAGTGGCTAGCAACCGCAGATGTTCCGTTTTCGTTGCTCGATGTGGGATGAATTTGTCGATGAACGTGATTAAGCCTAAGAAGCTCTTGACCTCGGAACAATTTGTAGGCCTCCTGAAATCCTTGATAGCCGCCACTTTCTCTTCTTCAACCTGCCAGCCTAGTGGAGTTAGAGTGAATCCCAAAAATTTCACGGACTGACTACCAAATACACATTTGCTTGCGTTCAACTTCACGTTGTGATTATCGAGACAAGCACGCACTGCTGCCACATTCTCATCATGCTCTGCCTTCGTCTTTCCAAATATCAGCACATCGTCAAGATAGTTCTTGCAACCTTTACAACCTGCCAACACTTTTCTTTGTAGAGCTTCCTGAAACAAGTCGGGAGCATTACACAAACCGAAAGGAAGCCTTACGCAACGAAACATTCCAAATTCTGTGAAGAAGTTGGTAAGATGTCTGGAATCCTCGTCAAGTTCCATGTGGAAAAAAGCATTTGACAAGTCGATCGTGGAAAACCAATTTGCACCTTCCAACTCTGCAAGAATTTTCTCTAATGTTGGCATCGCAAATGGAGTACGGTGAATGTATCGATTGGGTCCCCTTAGGTCAATGACCAATCGTATATCGTCTTTTCCTTTCGGGATCACTAACATCGAAGAACAGAACGAAGAGTCCATGCCGTCCACAACTGGTTCAATGATGTTTGCGGATACCAGACCTTCCAATCTCTTCTCCACCAGAGGCTTAACAGCTACAGGTATGTTCGAAAATACATTCCTGCAGGGTGGCTTCGTTTTGTCGTAATAAATCTTTACAGGAGGAATGTTAAACTTGGGAAAGATTAGATCCGTACTGATTGCAGCAATCTCTCCAGCCAAAATTGATGACTCGTATGCGGATCCTTCTGTATGGAAAGGTACTTTGAGGCCAAGCATCAGAATACTATATCTCGAAGCTGTTGGTCTACTAAGGAGGGCCCGAATCTCTTTGACGACGTAAAACTTTTCCAACAACACTGGTCTGTTTTCGGAAACGTAAAGATGTGCATCGAATGTGGCAAGGACTTGGATGTGTCCAACAGTGGCATAAGCTTTCAATTGACGATCTGAGGAGTCCTTAACATTGTATACCTCCTTGCTGTATTCAGGGTTCTTGATTAGCTCGTGAAACATTTCTTCAGTGAATGTATTCACTTGTGCACCTGAATCAATAAGGAAAGTACAGGCCATTCCCGCTACCTTAGTCGTAATGAATGCTTCATCATATTCCTGGAGGTCTGTTTGAATCTAGTTTTAATGCAAACTAATTGGTATTTTCCAAAACGTTAATTTAAAATCTAAATACTTACTCTTTGCACTGACTCTGATCCTGCCTCAGAGTTACTTCTCATGCTATCGTTTAATGCGTCGTGTTCGACACATTCCTCCTCTTCATTGTAACATCGTTGAGAATGTCGTTTAATGGCGAGATTTGGATATTTTGTTGATTTCGAATCTACGACCTGACAGACAAAATACAGTTTCAGTTTCATGTCATGTATATCACATTTATTACCAAATCATGTCTTATTCTTTATTTTATTCATTTTTAAAGATACAAACTTAAAGCATACTTATTATTCCAACGCAGAGTTTAGCAGTTCATAAATTGAATTAAAACTTAAGCAGACTTTTTTTTTTTTTTTTTTCATAAATGGATAAATGGTTGGGGTTCAGTGTTCAGTGACGTCGAATAACTAACGCTATTCAAATATATACTTGAGTGATGGGGCTCACCCAGAATAACCCCCAAATGTAAGTAATTTAATTAGAAATAACTTCACTCACTGTTTCATCTTCAGTTGAGGTATCCTCGGTTTTATCGATGGCCGCAAGCTTCATCGGTTCATCTTCCAATACTTCGGACGCCAGTCGCTTTGGTACTTGACCAACGAGAGACGGACAGGCACGTCGAATATGGCCAATTCTTCCACAGTTGTTACAGATTTTATCCTTGCAGTTGCAGTCTTCTGCCGAATGATATACTGTGTTGCATCGCCAGCATTTCTCAGACGAAGAAGATCGATCCGAGCCCTTGCCTCTGAAAAATCGACCTCGTGGGGCTCGCCAACCTGCTCGTGGCATCTGATTGACTCGTTGATATGGATTCATACGTACCGAATTGCGCTCAGGGAACCTTTGCTGACGATTCATACTACGAGGATATCGTACGTTTACAGCAGCAACTGCAGACTGTTCAGGGGTTCCTCGCTTACGCAAGACGAATTCTTCATTCAATCTTATTGCTTCGATTTCTCGTACCTTATCTACTAGATCCGTAAAACAGCCGTTCCTGCTTAACATCTTCAAAGCCGTCGTGCGTACATCCTTATTACGTGCGTGTTCAGCAACTGTTGAAACTATCTCTTCAAATTCCTTTTCAGCCTCAAATCCACAGAGTCGAGCTGTTGAACCAACTCGAGTAATGAATGTCAGATCAGTTTCATTTGTTTTCTGTGCCATTAATGCCAACTTGCGTCTCATGAGCATAACATCAGAGCCTGATCCAAAATAAGACTTGAGCCTATGCATGGCATTTGAGAACGGCTCTGTTTCGGAGTCTGGATCGTCGTTTTGGGACTTCGTGTTCCTGAATATTTCCAACAGCCGGTTCCCAGCTTTTACTTTAAAAACTGTGAACATCGTTTTTTCGTCTTCAATACCTGCTAGTTTCATGGAATCCATCAGCAGATCCTTCCATAACTCGAATGTCTGTCGATGAATGTCCTCGTCATCCGCCGATTTGCACTCCGGTACATTAATCGACGCCACGGACAGTTGGTTCATGGATGACAAAAAACGTGATTCCTCTTGAGCTGTTGTGGTAGTCGTATTCCGTGTACTGCTTAGTCTATTCGGGTTATCGAATCCAAACATGGAGTTCTCTGTTGAACAGCCACTATCGGTTACCGATGGGTTCTTGATACTCGCAGTGAGTTCCTCATTTTCCTTCCTCTTCTTCCTAAGTTTCTTCGCTAGCAATGCCGTTTTAGCCTTCTCCGCAGCCAATTCTTTAGCCATCTCTTCCAATTTGTTTTTTTTCTTCAGCTTCGGTTTTGATAGTGGACCGAGCGGTGAACCATTTTCTACAACAAAAATTAATCAAAAACAATCGTTCGTTACCAGAAATTTTCTAATTATTTTTATTTAGTTTTTATTCATCAAAATCAAAATCTATTTCTCTTTTTTTTAACTAAACGTTTCTCGGCTATCTAATATTTATTTGCATACGATTAGCTTAACTTGAAAACCAGACAGCCATCTTTTTTTTTAATCGGTTTTTTTTTTAATTTTATTTTATTCCGTGACCTTTCGCGCGACATCTTTTAAAATTATTACTTTTATTTGAATCGTGACCTCTCGACACATTTTTTTTTTATTTTCGTATTTCCGTGTCCTCTCGCACGGTATAGTAATTTTGATCGAGACCTCCCGCTCGAATAAAACGTGGTTCGTGACCTTTCGCACGACCATTTTTTTTTTTTCAACTCCGTGGCCTCTCGCACGGTAAATAGACTTTCCCAGCCTTTTAAACAAATTCATCAAGTATTTTACATTCAATATCTGTAAAA